AGGCACATGAGAGTCTCCCTGCATTTGTTTCTCTTGTCTACGGAGACTAACACATCAAATAAGCTCAGCACATTAAGGGGGAAATGCAGCCAAGAATACAGGAATATTTATACTTTGGAAGATCGCAAAGAAGGCACAATAATCACTTTAGAAATCGTGAGCTTCTGGACCCTAAATTGGTCAAAGGGACACAGACTGTACTTCTCAAGCCTAAAACCTGAAGGCAGACTAGGATGATTTTGCAAACACTCATATGCAGCTCACATGCCATGACTGTAGTTTGTACCAGGTTTCAAACTTGGAGAGAACTACTTCCCGGGAAAAATTTTTTTTCAGTAAACATCATGATTTTAAAGACATGATGAAAGTGAACAGATGTTGAAAATTTTCATTAAAGATTCGCTTTTCTAATAATGAAACTACGGAATGCAAACATTTAAAACAATTACTATTAAATGGTGTGATACACTTACAAAAATCACAGACGTATAAAACTTGGGCTCTCTTTCTAAACACAGTACCCAGGAATATTATTCTAGTTTACCCAGGAGAATACTTGAAAATAGTTAGGAATGTTTAAGGGGCTACTAGCTCCAGTATGACTCATTAAGTGTTAAGAGGAATCTTTAAGGGCCTTGTTTTATGATTTCATGAAGCTATAGAGCCATTTTTATATCAGTTAAAACCGGGATTTTAACGCAATTTGTGACACTGATCTCCATTCCATTAAAATTCCCAGTCGCAAGACACCACAGTCTGTCTTCACAGGTGTTCTTCCAAAGGAAACTGTCAGCCCAAGAACTTAAATACCGACGTCTCATACACTGAATTTCTCTACCAAAATCATCCTATTTTGGACTTTATGCTCTTATTCAGCACTCTGGAGGGCAAAAATAAATAATATCAATAACAACATGGATTAAATACATGCTACAGATACAATAACAACATGGATTAAATACATGCTACAGACACAATAACAACATGGATTAAATACATGCTACAGACATAGACAAAAGACAAGGACCCAGAGGGGGGAATCCCTGCTTTCCACGCACGGGAAGTCTGGACAGCAAGAGCATTCACCACAGGGGGAGAAGAAAT